TGTCAAATATTTGGGGTTATTTTGTTTGGCCTGATATTTTGTGGGTCCGCCTGAGCCACTTGTCGTGATGTGTGTGAGAGGTTGTTGCATGGCTTTGTAACCTTTCAAGTGAGATGGTCGGGCAGTTCAACCACCATCTTAGGGTGCGTCGGGTGTCATGCAAGATGTGCGGCACCCGTGCGAAGCGTATGTGAGGTGACCTTGCGGAGTGTCGATTGCGAGAGAGGAGATAGTGGCCCTAGAACCTCTCTTAGACTTGAGGTTGGTGGATAGTCCACCAGTAACCATGTGAGCATGAGATGTGGTGGCTTTAGAACCACCCATACAATTTACAACATGGACTGACCATTGATGCTAGTAGAAAGGGAGTAAAGGGTTTGAAGTCCCTTTCCTCAGTTTACCTGAGCCTGAGCATAGGTGCGAAGAACAGAGTTGCTTCGCAGAAGGAGGGTGGGAGCAAAGGTTTGAAGAACCTTTCTTCCCAAAAATGAGCTCACGGGTGTGAGTATCATGACATCCCCGACTAGGAAGTAAGAAAAGTTAGTGAACTCCAAAGACATTTTTAGGTACGAATTTAGCGTTATATAGGTTTGTGAGCGAACCGAACCAACTATAAGGTGGTGCGTCTCTAGTGGAGTTGTCAGTTGGTCGGCCTAAATTTTCGTCGCTTGGGCATCGCGAAGGTTCCCAAGTCGATAAGCCCCTCTCAAACAATCGCAGGGCACATGTGTGCATGTGCGCACGTGTGCTAGGTGCAGATAGGTACCAATGGTGAGAGGACTTTATGACGGCAAGGAGGGAGTCGAGCACCTACCTCACCGGTTGGGTTCGTGGGACGCACCGGGCCTTAAGCCTTCTTAGATCATTTCGGAAGCCCTCTGGCTATCCTCTCAATGCGGTTTGAATCCGGCTTCCTCACTTCGTTGTACAACACCAGAATTCGCACACTGAAAATGAATTCGCAGTTCACCTCTTATTGTCTCCTCCTATTAAGTAATTCATAGGCAGATTGGGGGCTTCTAGCCTGAAGAAAATAGAGATTGAGAGTAGATAGAGAAGAAGAAGAAATAGAGAAGAGAAAGGAGGAAACTGACCTAAAAATTGGGCAGCCTTCCAGCGTAACCTCTACTGAGAGGTATTCTCATAGACAAGAAAGATTATAGGCTTGAAGCCCAAGTATCCAAAATGATTTTAAGATAGCGAAGTATGTGAGTTGAGCCCATCCAGAAATCACTACCCAAAGAGCCTTCTAAAGAATTAACCGAAAAGAAGGGGTGGGGGAGAGGGCAGAGAGAGAATGAAAACGAAAGATGGAAGAAGAATAGAAGAGAGAAAAGAATACCTCTCACAACTCAGACACTTAAAGGGGGATACGAGGATGATCTGAGAGTCAAACTCTCTAAAAAGCGGCCACTCAAAGACCCTAACTAAAGTGTCTAAATCAGAGAGAAGTGAGAGAAAGAAGAGATCAAGATAAGAGAAAAGAAAAGGGTGAAATATAAAAAATAAAAGAAAGAGATGAGACAGAAGAGGGAGACCTCTCACAACTCTGACACATGAAGGAAGATAAGAGGACATTCTGAGAGTCGAGCTTTCTAAGAAGTCACCACTAAAACACCTTAACTAAAGTGTCTGGGTTGGCGAAGAGAGATAAAGAGAAGTGAAAAGAGAGCTTCAAAAGTTAAGAAAGAGAAAGAGAGAGTGAGAGAGAGATAAAATGAGAATGAGAGTGAAATAGAGAGAAATGAAGTGAGAGAAGGGGAGAGAAGTTACGGACCCACTATGAGTTTGTGCGAGGGAGAGTGAGAGAGAATGGTACAAAAAGAGAGGGAGAGAGAAGAGTAAGAGAGGATTTCATGGACCCTTTGTGGGTACATGAGAGAGAGGAGTAAGAGGGGGAGAGTGAAGTTCATAGACCTGTTGTAGGTCTGTGAGAAAGAGGACAGATGGGAGAGAGAGGATATGATACGGGGGAGAGGGGAGGTTCACGGACCTATTGTAGGTTTGTGAGAGAGAAGAGAAGAGAGATGGGGGAGAGAGGAGAGAAGAGGAGAGAGAGGGAGATGAAGGAGAGATGAGAAAGATATGGGGGAGAGAGAAGAGAAAAGGAGAGAGAGAGTTGGAGAGATGAGAGAGAGATAGGGAATGAAAGAGAGGAGGGGGAGTCACAGACCCGCAGCAGGTCTGTGTAAGGGGAGGAGAGGAGAGGTAAGAGAGAGAGATGAGAGAAAAGAGAGGGAGAGAGACATGCCCGTCGTGAGTTTTTGAGAGGGGAGAGAAGATGGGAGACAGGGGAGAGAAGAGAGGAAAGAGAGGGAGATAGGCACGAGCTTGCCGTGAGCCCATGAGAGGGGAGAGGAGAGTGGATAAAAGAGAGAGAAGGGGAAAAAAAGCATGGGCCCACTACTGGCCCATTAGATGAAGAGAGAGAGGATAGTAAAGGGGGAGAAAGAGGTGGAGAGAGAGAATGGACTCACAGTGGGTCCGTTAGAGAGGCAGAGGAGAAGGAAGAGAGAGAAGTTAAAGAGAGTGGAGAGAGAATGGATCGAGTACTTAGGCCTGAGTCAGGTTCAGGTGTGCCCTTAGTGGTCTCTTGAATGCTCTTAAAGAGGGTTTGGACTTTGGGTTGGAGGGTTAGACTCTAAGTTTGAGGGTAAATGAACCTAGGAGGGCTAGGGTGACTGAGGTGTATGGTTTGGTGTAGCTAGGGGTAAGGTGTGTGGTTTAGGGTAGTGTAGGGTTTAGGGTGGTGTAAGGAAAAGGCTAGGTGTAATGTGGTCTAGGGAGTAGGGTGAAAGGAGTACGAAGTAGGGTAATGTAGGGTGTAGGGTAATGTAGGCTAGTCTAGAGAGTAGGAGTAGGGAGTAAGGAGTATGGTAGTCTAAAGAGTAGGGAGTAGGGAGTTTGAGGTTTGGAAGTTGGGAGTTGGAAGTGGAAGATGCCATGTGTATTCTCTCTCTTGTCAAATGTTTCTTTCACCTCTCTCTTGGGTTTGAAAATAAGCCACAAGCAAGAGCAATGACTCAAAATTTTGATTGATCTTCCAAAACTAGGTTACAAATGACTAATTCGCTTATATAGGCACCCACAAAACATGGGTTGATGCCCAAAACTCATCAAAATTGCTAAAAAAATAGGCAATTAAATTTTATAAAAACAAATTAAAAATAAGGCTAAAATGACCATTTTACCCCAGGACACTTTTTCGAAAATAACCATCTCTCTTGGAGGGGCCTCATGCCATTGGTATGCCACATGAGCTCTTTCAGACCTTTTCAATGATAATTTGGACAATCAAACACCATAGAACTACTGCTTGCATTATCACGAACATTTTGATGCCCATTATTTGGCTTGCTTCGGAGTTTTGTAGTCAGACCCAAAATCTGGCCATGTTCATGAACTTTTGAATTTTCGATCATCGATATAGAACAATTTGTCCCATCTCAAATCTTCTTTTTTATTTCAAACTGAAAAGGACTTCGTGACTATCATTTTAGAATAAAAATCATTCGATTTGGTTGTCATTTAAGAACTTTCCAAATTGGGGAGGTCGCCAGAAAATGGTATTATGGAGACCGGAAAACTTGGCTTCTTTAAACTCAAAATTAAGTGTCTTTCGGTCTGCGATCATGCGCAAATACTACCTTGAAATGAAGCCCTCAAATATACGATCACAACGGACCCATATTATGATCGCAAATACTGCCTTGAAATGAAGCCCTCAAATATACGATCACAACGGACCCATATTTGAGACAATCCGGTATCGGGGCTTTAAGATATGGCTTCTTGCACAATGGGATGTTTCTCTTTAAAAAACTGCAATACATGAGTTAAAAACTCAAGTTCTCTCTAGAAATTCTTTCGTCTCGGGCATCGTCATAAAGAGTGCCATATATCAAAGCGAGCGGATAGGAGAGCTCTTGAACATATCCAAATTTTAGAGAAATTGGCCTTAAAATGAGAAAGTTATAGTCATCACAAGATAATCTCAAAATTGAATGTCACAGTTTACGGAAACTGGTACACCGAGGCTGCACCATAATATTGTAAAACCCATCCATTTATGGCCAGTTAGGAGCAGAATGCTCCTGGAAGGTCCAAACGAACGGAAAATTGGTATCTATGGGTCTCTAGAATTTTCGGATCTAATGGTGATGGTCTGATAACCATCAGAGGAATCGATAATAGAGCCCAAGTTATAAGGTCCATTTTCAGTATGATAGGATTTAGAATTACGAACCGTGTTTCATCCTGATTGGCTTTAAACTTGTCAGATTGCGACGAAACTTGGTGTCCGTAGGGCATCCAAAGCTACCTTTCAATGCATTTTGAGGTCGATCTGATACGTTTTTCAAGTTTACCAAAAAAAATAGGCTTATTTCTAGAGTGCTCTTGTGGTCCGCTAGCATTTTTGGTACATGTGGGACCAGGTTGCGACTGGCTCCTTCTTTATATGCACCGGGGATCCAAATGAGTCAAAAATACCCTATAACAATATTGCATAATGCCGATTTCAAAAGAGTAGTATTGCAGGACTACTTATCGTTGCTCTAAAACTACGTATAAAAATAATGCATTTCTGTATATTAATTTATAGGGTTACAAAGTAATGTAGAATCAATAATCTTCATAATAATCTTCATAATATGAGTACACAAAATAGAAAAGGAAATATTGTGCATAAGCAATACTTACAACTTACTATAACTTCACAAGTACAATCTCCACTGTCCAATTCGTTACATGCCCGCATAACACAATTTACCATATAAAGTACAAATTGTTATTGCGGGCATTGCCGAAAAACTACTATAACGGATGTGAGCATAAGTTTCATCATATAATGTTGTATTCTCGGTTACTTGACATTATCTCTTAAGACATGTATAGATGCAATAATGGTTCAATGGTAAGAACTGAACATGAGATGTTGTATTCTTGGTTACTTGACATTATCTCTTAAGACATGTATAGCTGCAATAATGGTTCAATGGTAAGAACTGAACTTGAGATGTTGTATTGCTAATGTTTGGTATATCTCATATAAATTGCTATCTTATAATTACATTTTAAGTTCCCTAACTTGTTCTCTGAATACGCATACAGCCAAATGAACACATAACACTTTAACAGTCGATTGATGAAATCAAACTTAGAGCTTTTCTAAGATGATGGGAGCCCCAAATTGGGGATGAATAGTAAGTTGAGCATAAGGGGCATGTGTATAAGATGGCGAGAGGTGGAAGGAGAAATGTTGCAGTATCATGGCCAATGCCATCTTCGCCTCGATCAATGCAAAATTCTGGCCTATACAAATCCTGGGTCCCCATCCAAATGGAAAGAAGGCCAAGGGATGCTTAGCAGCCTTTGATACCCCTTCTAAGAATCTCTCCGGCCGAAATTCATCTGCATCGTCTCCCCAAATTTCTCGGTCATGGTGGATCATGAGTATTGGAAGAAGAAGCCGGACACCTGCAGGAAAATCTAGGCCTCCTAAAGTCACCCTCTTGTAGGTTTGCCTTATGAGAAATACCACTGGTGGGTAGAGCCTGAGAACCTCATAAAGGATCATTGTTACCTGTGGGAGTCATTAACTATTTATGATTTTGGGACAGGAAATGCGGAAATGTTGAGAAATAATAAAAACAACTTTTCTTAAAAACAATTCAGTATACCATCACCACTTAGCCAACTTAAAAGTATTAAAATTTTGATGACCGTTATATGACATTTGCTTATGGAAAAAGTATTATATGATGGTCTTTTTATCTAGAATTTGCTACCACCTCCCCAAACGTCCAATGTCAAAAATCAATGGTTGCCTAGGTTTAATAAATTGTAAGAAAACCAAGCAGCTACAATGTGTACAATGCCTTTCGTAAGGCATCACATTATATTGCTTACTAAAAAAAAAACATATCACATTATATTGCATTTCAAAAACATTGATGGCCAAAGAAGCAATAATAAAATGGAAAATATGGAATAAGACCATTTGTCTTTTGGTACAAGAGTGTCACAATTAGATGTGAAATCATGTGGCTAAGCATAATGCCCTAGATAACATTATAAATCTAAAGGAAAATTTCACAAGTTTTTTAACATACCTTAAGCTATACATTTTATATCCAACAAGTAGTGAAAATGATGATCTCCTTGTAAAGTGAATAAACAGTCTTAGGATATACATCCAAATGATAAAATGGGTCGGTCCTACGAGGCCTGTATACTACCAAGTATTTTCATATAATTAGTCATTCAAGTTTTTTTGCATTCTTTTAATGGAAAGTACCTCCTTTAATTTTTTTCCTATAATTGAGCATTCACTGTTGAGTGAGTGTGGCCATTAAAAGCCTTATTAGCCTTATTAGTGCTTATTAGTGCTTGTAATGAAACATTTGATATAATGGAACATGAACTAAGTGAGAGTGTGGTCTCTCGTGAACCATACTAAACAAATAACATTTGCTGATACCGAACTATACTTAACAGTCTAAGCCAGTTGGTTGGGAAAAACCTATGTTACCTAGGCATATAAAACTATCCGATAAGAGTTCTAATAAGTCATCTCTTGATGAGATCAAAGTATGCCTGGATGAGTGAGCCGAGGGACTGTGTGACCCTTGTGCGTGATGGTGCCCTTCAGAGACGGGGGCCAAAGCTTCACATATGTATCATCACACGGTGTGCATAATGATAATCGTTTTGAAAAAGAGAGCCACATTTTATGTGCATGTGCGAGAAATACCCCTATGCGCCACAGGAACTATAGTCGCATCAGATCCAGGTGACCTTGGCACATCTCTAAGGGAGAACCTGAAATCCACAAACTGGGATTACGACCCCTTGGCTCATCAATCAGACTTTAATGACCCACTAATAAGCCCCTGCATGGACTGTGGGTCATGGAAAACACTATAGAAAAGAGAAGATTTGATGCCCCCAAGGTTTACTGAATGCACAACTCATCATTCTTTTTTTTTTTACCAAACGTAAGCTTTTATCCTCTACAATTGGTATCAGAACCCCAAGGTTTGGGTTCCTTGCAGAGAATATGGTTTCTTGTAGATTGCAAATCTTTGAAGACAAATGTTTTTCCAAAAAAAATAGAGAAGAAAAATTTCGAAAAAATTTATGGGTAGACTAAAAAATACTTATGGAGCTAAATCTCTTCCAAATAAAATTTTTCTTTGTTTTACAATTTTATAACTTTATAATCTCAAGATGAGTGATGTTATTTCTTTGCAAGGGCACTAAAATATGTTTGAAGCCCTAATTAGCAAGCTAACAACACTAGATGTGAAATTTGATGAAGCAGATAAAACAATTATATTATTTTGTTCTATACCAATATCATGGGATGAGTTGATCATGAATCCAAATATTGGAAAGTCCCTTGAATTTGATTTAATTATTTTCCTTATAGAGGAGTCCGGGCAAAAATCTGGTCAAGGATCCTCTGAAATGTATTTCCTAGAAAGAGGTAGGTCAACAGAGATAACTATAGGAAAAGGCCAATCAAGATCCTAGTCTAAAGAGAGTAAGAAATTGAAGTCTTGGGTTTATGAGCATAATGCCATGTGAAAAAAAGACTGCAAGGCACAAAATGAAGCCAAAAGCCTCTAAATTTTTTCTAATGAGAAGCCTGGATTAAGTGAATTTTAGGGAAATTAAGTTGAAAAAAAAATTACTTTTTCAAGGATGGAGAAGTTTTGTTTATGGACAGAGAGGAAATTTTATATTATTTGAAATGACTTCACATAGGGATTAGTGTTATAAACACTGACCAGGTGATGAAGATATTATTTATATAGAAAATAATGACTCATGTAAAATAATAGGAGTTGGAGATGTGAGAATCATGATATTCAATTGACTGCCATACACAATCCTTGATGTTAGACATGTTCCACGTCTTAGAAAGAGTCTCTTATATCTAGAAAAATTTAATAATAAGATTTCAAATTTACAGGTGGTCATGGATGTCAGAAAATTTCAAAGGGAGCAATAATGGTTTCAGAATGAGAGTTAACAATTTTGGGATAGGACTGATGTGGCAGAAGTGGACTCCTTATTAACATAGCATAGTGTTGGGCCACACAAGGGAATGTGCACTCAAAAAAAAGAAAGAAGAAGAAGAAGACAACCTCTTCCATGGTTTAAAATATTTTCATTTACGTTTTTATGAGTTATGCATGTTTGAAAACTAGAATAAATTGCACTTTATTTTATTTACCATTAGAAATAAGGATTTCTTGAAATTTATTTACTCAGATAGATGGAAATCGTATGTTGTCTCTATGGGATGTATTGCATGCTTTTCTTTTTTATTGATGATTTTTCAAGAAAAGATGTGGGTTTATGTACTAAAAAAGAAATGAAATACTTCGGTTGTTTTAAAAGAGCTAAGGCCTTGGTAAAAAATCACAAAGACAATAACATCAAGTGTCTGAGAACTAATAATAGGGTGGAATTTTATTTTGATGAATTTTGACAATATTTGTAATAAGCATGGTATTGCTTTGCAGTTAACAATTCTTGGGTTACCTCGATAAAATAGGACTGTTAGAAGGATAATTGTACCATTATAAAGTGTGTCAAGTGTATATTGAGTACTGCATATGATAGGCAGAAGTAGTTGTAGATCTTGTTTCCTAATTAATACGTTTGCCAATGTTGCTCTTGACTACAAAACACTACAATAGGTTTGTACAGATAAACTAGATGATTATTCTTTTCTTCTTGCCATTGGGTCTGATACATATGTTTTGATTTCAAAGGTGAGTAGAAGTGGGTGTGGAATCAAAAAAGTGTGTTTTCTGAATATATGGATTGTACAAAAGGGTACATATTATGGGATCTTACTAACCCCAAGATTATTGCCTGTTGTTACTTTTTTCCAATGAAATTTCCATACGAAAAAAGAAAAATGAACCAGATACAAAAGCTGTTAAGGCGAGATGCACCCATGAGAAACAGTGAGAACCAGTGAGATGATGGTCAAGGTCAAAAGCTTAAGGTTTATTAAGTTGTTTTTAATTTGAGAAGATCTAATAGAGCTCGAATGAGGCATAAAAGTTATGTTATCTAATATGTGCATAATAGATGAGGGTGAGTTAATTTCTTATCGTGAGGTGTGTGAAGTTGATGATGGCGGTCAATAGAGAGTACCTATGGGAAAGGAGATAGAAGCTTTAAAGAAAAATAAAACATTAAACCTTGTCGAATTACCCAAGGGGCGAAAATGGTTAGTTGTAGGTGAGCTTTCAAAAAAAATAAAGATCTTAATGATGTTGTTGAAAGATACAAAGCTTGATTGGTTGTGAAAGGTTATATTTAGAAAATTTTTCTCCTATTATGTGCACGTCCATTGGGTCTGATGACAATCTAAACCTTGGAAAACGTAATCCTAGTCAAAGAAGGACCTCTAATTTTTAGGAAATATTCTCCAGGAGATTCCAAAGGCCCAAGCCTATATAAACCTCTCTAACCCTTTTTAGAAAATTAACCATAAATATCAAGAAAATTAGAAATACCTTATAAAATCCTTTAGAAATTAGGAAGCCTAAAAAATTAGGAAATATAGTAAACAACCCTAGCAAAATCCATACAACCCAAAAATCCAAAAAAATTCACAAAGAACACCTAGTAAATAATTTGATATTCGGTTGACCATATAATCCTAAAAAAAGCCTTACAAGTGAGTGCCTTTGGCAAATCAAAAGCCCTAGGAAAAACATAGCGTATGCATTCTTCAAGAAAGATAAGAAGAACAATGTAAATAGCTTGCGATCTGGTACATACACCAACTCTAGGTCTTCGGATGTCCATGGCTATTCGGACAAGAAGAGTGAGTCTTTATTGTGAGATCTCAAGATGACTCTACCACAGCTCTAAGAGAATGTTGTTCTTTTGGAGATCAGGGTTGTATTGGAACCATAATTGGCAGACCCAACAATTCTCTATTGACTATAGTTTTAATCTGTTTAAATCAAAAATTAAGGGATGTTCCATCTGAGATCTCTTCAAATTTGCGATACAAGTATATACCTACTCTAGAAAGTCTATCGAAAACATTGAGCCGGGAATAGCATACTTCAAATGTCCTTTGTTGACAATAAATGGTTAAAGAGCTGCTAGCAGAAATATCCTAATAACACATTTTATCATATTTTAAAATGAAAATTTTATAGAAGCCCTCAACTTTACATATTCAAGTAAAATTACAATGATATATCCATTTTACTTGGATAATATTGATTTGACAGTGTCTTAAAAGATGTGTGAAATTTTGACTAACTCAAATCTAAATCATCCAACCAAAATAGCCAATGTAGAAGATTGCAACGTTGTCATAATAAATATTGTTGTTGCTTTATACGAGTCAGACCATATTTTTAAATGACAAGGTGCAACTTTGGCTACCTACTTTATTACATTAAGAATGTAGGCCGAATATAGTTTCTTTAAAATATAAGAGGTTGTATACGACCATGTACCTTAGGTACAAGAAGATCACAATTATTTATACCCATCTAATGTCAAATACGATAGCAAAGTTTGAGAAACAAAAAATTGAAATGGAAAAGTATAGCTACCCAATTTCATTTTTAATGGTCAAGATTAATTGTGAGTACCTTCTGCCAAAAATAAATGATATTTTTATATTTGTTTCCAAAAGATGATTAGGCCACCCTAGTGTCATATGGATTAAAATTTTGATGGACTAAATATGCTGGCAAAGTAATAGGCAATGAGGTTACTCACAATTTTAAGGTGGGCCACTTGGTCGAGAGTGGGTGGATCGGTCGTAGATCCCATAATTTGCATAACCTCTTCTCTCGCACGTTGCTGCCACGTGGGATGCGTAGACAGGACCACCATTGTCCATGTCAATAACATTGATGTGGTCTCGTGTCCAGCAAAGTAAAAGAGTTTACACTCTTCGATTACATCATCAAGGGTCATTTTACTTTTGTTATCATTGGTGTTATTTGACTCCAACAATAAACCCAAGAGATCGTGGTAGTTGGTGGCCCCACTTTTGATTGCTTTTTCCCTCTTTTGGACCATGTCTTCTAAGATGGCTCTCACCTCTTTTGCTATCTTCTTCCTTCGGAAGTTCTTTACCGTGGGTAAAAATCTGGAGAGATCAAGATTATTTCTTAAAATTAAATAGCCATTTAGAAACAATTTTAACCTAAAATTCGAAGATTGATCCGTCATTCGTGATGATTATTCCAAAAATCTTAAAACCATCTTGTCAAATGTGTATTATTTCTAAAATTTAAAGAGCTATTTAGGAGCACTATTTGACCTACAATTCAAAGATTCACATGTCATTCACTGGATTATTATTTTGACAAATTAATTTTTCGATTTTAAATATTTGGACTTGACTATTTAAAAGGCTAGCCGGTCTTTGTTTAATCCTAAAATTGTCCAAATTGCTTTTTGTGATAGGTGTGGTTTGCATAAGGTGGCAACCTATATTAGTTAAAGGTCCACTTCCAAAATTTGTCATAAGATACAATTTTGGCTTAAAAATTTTTAGGATAGCCAGATAATATACTTTTGCGTCTAATTGCTTAAATCTTGAAAATAGATGGTCTAAACAATGTATTGGAAGATATGCCATTTTTAGGACTTGAAAATATTTTTTTTGATATCTATCTATCTTGAGATCGAGATGATCAAGTAGATATTTTTTGCAATGTCAAAATAGCCCTTTCACATGGATTTTTGAGGCACACCTTAGCTTTATAATATAAGATGTAAATCGAACTTTTTTTTCTTTGAGGGTTTAAAAGCAGTCCAGATTTTATGCAAGCAACAAGAGATCTTCAATCACTTATCCCCGACTAGAAGTCCTTTTTGTATTTTCTCCCTAAAGACCATTGTGCCACATGAGTACTGCATCGACATCAACCCAACCTAATGTATTGAACAATTTATCTATCGGATTGGAAAATAACGGACTTCATTTGTCATTTTCTTTCTGCTAAATAACAAGGAAAAATAGAATAACAGCCACGTCCAATAAGGTGGTTAATCAACAATTTTACCAGTTTTAGATATCCTCTCTTATTGGTGCCTAACAAAGAATTATGTTTATTTTGGGTTTGCAGCTACTATAAGGACAAAGCCAACCAACCAAACCAGTGAGGATTTTGGTCTTTCAAAACCGGTCCAATTCAGACAAGTCAAAAATCGGTTGGTCCGATTAACCAAAACTAGATAAACATTGATTTTGATCGATTTATGACCAAACCTAATTTTTACCTGAATGCAAACGGGTAAATACACCTGCCAACAGTCCGACCAGTAGGACAATCAATTTGATTCGATCTTGAAAACTATGCGATGAACAATTGATGAATTTTTGGTAATTTTAAACCATTTTAATTGCTCATGTCAAATGAGCTAAATAGCTTCTATTTTTTTGGTTTCCAAGCTTGAAATATGTTTTGTTCATTAACAAAATTTATTCCTAGTTTTGAAACACAAAACAAATTGGGTTGATTTGATAATTTAGCCCCAATATGAGTTTCTGAGACGAATGACCTTTTTCTTTTTGTTTGCAATACACTAAGCGGAAGTACTTAAATACCTTGCTGGTTATAATTTCTAAAATATTCAAAATTTAGAACCTAGAGGAATAAGAGATATTTAGGCCGTGTGGCTTATGTAATTTAAGGGGTCAATTTACCAAAATCCTCTCATTTGTTCAGAATTCCAAACCCGTAACAAATTCATTTAGTGGGTCCCCAAGTGGAATAATTTCTCCATGGTAACCACGTTAATGGTGGACTACATAATTGTACCTCATTGCTCTCTAGAAGATCTCGTGCCATTTCATTGATATAAAAAAACATTAGTGAACAAAGCGAATTTAACCCATTTCTCAATGTTTTTTGGGTGTGGTTTGTGTAGATCCTAGGCTCTAAACAATTCGATTAGAGCCTAGTGTCGAGGATTGTGGTTTCAATACTGGAAATCATTTTGATAGCCTTAAAATATATTTTCATATTTATTAATAAAATTTAAAGTTTCAAAATAATGTAGATCAAGTTATCTATGAAAACTTGAAAATCTTTAAAATTGACAGTCCAAAAATGGATTACCAAATATACTATTTCTAAAATTTGAAATCCATTTTTTTCTCATGTCTATGCATCTTGATGTCGAGATGATCAATTTGTAGATATTTGGGCATCAAAACAATCTTTTCTAGTGAATGTCTTGAAATAGGCTCGAATTTGATTGTTTAGAGCCTCGGCTCTATATAAACTTTTCTCTTTTTATAATAATAACAATTATTAAAGGAAAATAGTTTGTTAGAGTTGCAGCCTTATTAAAACAAGTAAAACCTCACCTCAAAAATCGCCTAAAATTGCAGTTCTCAAGTCCGAAAACGTTCAAATCGATAATCTTGGCCTTTAGCACGTTAATTGTGAAAAAGAATACGATTTCAATCCCTAAACATAGTGTATATTCTAAGATAATTCCACTCTAAAAATAAGTATTTACCCATCTGCACGATCAGTATTATCTTTTGGGAATCAAATTTTATAGCCAGCGTTATAAATTGATTAGAGCCATCATGGATATTTCGATGCCCCTTTCAAGCCGTATATATTTTTTAAGAGTAGAGGCTCTAAACAATTAAATTAGAGCCTACTTTCAAATAGTATCGACAAATATAGTTTTAGTACCGGAAAGTTTTTTAACAGCCTTGAACTATATTTTTCATCACTAGTTGTAAAATTTAAAGCTTCACAAATAATGTAGATCGAACTAATTTATAAAAACTTGAAAATCGACGGTCCAAAAATACGTTACGAGATGCACTATTTTCAAAACTTGAAATCCATGTTTTTCTCATGTCCATGCATTTTGTTGTCCATACATTTTGATGTCGAGATTTCAATTTGATGATATTTGGACATCAAAACAACCTCTTTTAATAAAAGCTTTGAGGTTGGTTCTAATTTGATTGTTTAGAGCGTATGCTATGTATAAATTTTTTCTTTTTTTTAAAACCTAAACCGAAGTAAATGCCATGACGGTGACCTCGGAAACTGTGCCATGGAAGATGCGAGTAGGGAGAGAACAAACCCGGGACTCGAAATTGACAACCGGCCTTGCTTGCACTTGGCCTAGACGGAGCCTGGCCAAGCCCGGCATTCCAAAACCATAGACTGGTCCTATTAGCTAGGTCGGTCTGGGCCTGGGCTTCTCTCTAATGCGTGACCGAACAGGGCCATGACCCTCCTAGTATAGACCCAGACCCAATAAAAATAAGGGCTGGGCGCACGTCGAATCTAAACCCAGTCCATGAACACAGAGGTTGACATTGGATCTGTTTAAGCCAGATCGCGTCGCAGCCCATTTCCACCCGAAAGTGAAGGCCGTGTCTACAAAATTGATGACAAAAATTGCATACCTGAACCCTGGAATGTAAATATTTCGAATAGCTTGGATGACAAGATCTTGTTGCTCCCGTTGGAGTTGAAAGAGACGCTTCCCTTCTTCATAGCTGCTCCCGAAAGCTGTTCGAGAAATGACATCGCCTGTTAATTCTTGGAGCTCAGGAAACACATCGATTTCACAGCTGCCCTCTTCTCCAACCAACTTTCCCCATCTCGCTATCATCTCTTTGCAACTAAGAATGAATTCAGGTACCATGCCCTATCACGTTCAAAAATTTTCACTCATGATATCATTTTTGGGGATTTTATACTATATTTGATATGAGTATGGTGTTGAAGTACTTTTCCCCAACATCTATTGTCCATGTGGAAAATGAAGGGGGGACGAACCTTGAGCTTCTCCATGTGGAAAGCAGGATTTAAGATCCTCCTGTGTCTCGCCCATTTCTCACCTTCCGCAGCCACAAGCCCCAACAATAACAGCTTCGTTAATGGGTTTGACGGGGCCTTCTCGAAGTGGCCAAATTTGTTTGAGAGGACCTCTTTTACCATCTCAGGCTCCATTACAATTACTCTTGGAGTCATTCCAAACCATGTTACACATATTTTGCCTACAATCCCACCATTCACTGTTACTCATCAAATTGCAAGAGAGAGACACGACTACTCATTAAACAACAGACATAGAATTTACTTGCAAAAGAAAGAGTAAATAGAGAAACGGGGCAAATAGAGAGAAAAAGAAACTGTACATGGAGTATTTTGACTAATCTTTGTGCGAGCTCAGGGTTTTATATTTCAATTCCCCCATGAAGAAATAGACTTAAAATGCTACTAATAAACTGAAGGAGAATTTGTAGAGTACCGTAATTCTTGACGGTTTGGGCAAAGAAGGGGATAACTCGAGGAACGATCTGATGCGAAAGGTCGATGGGCTTCGAATAGGCTTCTTGGGTAAGCCTGTTGCTCTCCTTTACATCCCCAAACAGGATCTTGTAAGGAGGGCCCCTAATCCCTTGCTTCTCCAAGTGCTTTTCAAGGGCTCTAGGCCTCCACCATACTGCATAACCTATTTTTAAAGTAACCCATAATACAAGAAGAGCAAAACAAAGAAGAAGAACACCTTCCATTGCTGCAGTGAGTGATTGGAAATGGGTTTCCTTGTTCAATCTCTACACCCCTTATATGATGGTGTAGGATGAGGAACAATGGCGTATGAGACTGGATTTCTTTGTTGAAAGCTGTGAATGCTCTGGATTCCATCTCTTTCCTCGACCCATTTATTTAAGTTTTTTTGTGAGGGAAGACTGGACTTGATCTGACTTTTACTCTTTCTGGTTTTTATTTATTTATTTTTTTGCTTGGGTCTCAAGGCAGTAGAAGAAGAGAATTACTTTGTCACAGACAATAAAAAGATGTTGTTTCCAACGATGGTGCACTTATTTTTGTTCCTATATGTGGTTAAGAAAGTGTCAAGGAGATGCCGTGGTACAAGTGTAACATTCACAACTCAGCACATGGCATAACCGACGAAATTTGGTGACACGATCAAATTGTGTCCGCACTCGAACATCCTTGTCAAACATACTTCTTTTACTTTATTGTTTTCTCACTTTTTCCATTAACGATCCCTAAGATCACGATTCAGTTTTAGTTTTGTTTGATTGTGTTTAATTTTAAGAGATTTGTATAGAAAGGTAACAATTAACCCTGGCCATCGGATTTTCAAATTGAACTGCTTGAGTCGTGTCATGAAGCTCTAGAAATTTTTTTTTGAATTTTCAATTTTGTTAATGACACACTCACACACACCTGATTTCAAATTGGATGAAAATGAGTTATTGTGACCTGTAACAAAAGTCAATAATCTCTTTATATATTTTTCTTAATTTTAGACATGTAGCAATACTAGGACAACAATTCAGCTTTTGAGATTCACATTCTAAATGGATGAAATTCCTTTTTTTTTCCCAAGAGTAAACTCCAATGCACTGCACTATGCTTATTAGTTGGTAATCTGAGATTCAAGGCCCTGTATAAGTCAAGATCCAGAACTTCTCTTATAAATTCTATCCCAAATTATACTATGTTCTTGTTGCTTCATGCCAACCAGAAAACTCAATTGATAGTTCCAAATGGGTACGCAATGGACCACATAGTCCTTTGGCCTGCAACATACTATCAAATGATCTTTTCTTTCAACCTGAATATCTTACTCAACGCAACCCAACATATGATTAGATAACTGCCATCACTAAAAATCTCTAACCCATCGCACCGATAAGTTAATTGGTATAAGGTGAAAATCACGAGTTCTGTTCTTCAACAGCATAATAAATGAGGCATCATAAACTTACTCGTTACAGTTTATGTAATATAATGGGAGCTCCATGTTATGCTTGAATGGTTATTTGCGGGTGTGGGGCATGAGCATATGATGGTGACAGATGGTAAGAGGAACTCTTTAGGATCATGGCCAAGGCCATCTTCTCCTCGATTAAGGGAAAGCGATAGCAAATGCAATTTCTGGGTATCAGGGAAAGAAAGCCAAAGGATGTTTAGTAACTTTTGATACTCCATTAGAGAACCTCTCAGGTCCGAATTCATCAGTATCATCCCCCCAAAGTTCCTTGTCTTGGTGGATCATGATTATTGGTAGGGTCAGGTGCACATCTATTGGAAAATTAATGCCCCCAACATTTTGTTGAATTTTTATGAATAAGGCTTTAATACCATGTTGAAATTTTATGTACGCTTTGATATCATGTTGCAAGTTTCTGGATAAGACACTGATACCATTAATAATTAAAAACACACTCACAGAGATAATCACAAAACTTATGTTTTTTCCACACACACTCAAGTTGCTTCTATCTGCAACCACAGACGCATAATTTCAATACATGGAGCCCATATATATAAGCGCTTACAACAAAACTACCCACTACCAACGTATTGGATAACTACCTACTACCTAAGTAAAGAGAGAATAACGTCCCACTATCTTAACTACCCATACATCCCATTTTTACATAGAGAAATGGAGATAACTTTCTACTATCTTAACTACCCATACATTCCACTTTTTTTGCATTATCTTTAACACTCCCCCCTTGACGCAAAAGTTCATCTTTTTCTTTTAAATTTCTTGCTCTTGTTTCTTCTTACTTCTTACTTCTTCTTCTGCTTCTTGTTTTTATTTCTTTTACTTTTTTTTTATTTTGCTTCTTATTCTTCTACTTGCATCTTTCTTTTGCTTCTTCTTCATTCTTCTTGCTTCTTCTTCATTCTTCTTGCTTCTTCTTGTTTTCTTTCTTCCTTCCTGTTCTTGTTTTTAAAAACTCATTTCTTTTTTCTTTTTCATGCTTTCTCATGGCATCATCATGCTTTTTCATGACATGATAAACTTGGACTTCAATGTTCTATTTTTCTTAACGCAAACTTCTTTTTTTGCCTTCTCATTAGGCACCCTCATGCCTTTTCATGACGTGACAAATTGGGACTTCAATGTCCCGTTTTTCTAAACACAATTTCTTTTTTTTGCCTGCTCATTAGGCACCCTCATTCCTTCTCATGGCATCATTATGACAAACTAGGACTGTGGTGTCCTATTTTCATTTTTTCAAAAATCATTTTTCTTATTCCTACACCAGGCATGGATTTCCCATCATGTCTTTCTATGGCACGACATATCAAGACTGTGGTGTCCTGTTTTTCTCCTTTCCAAAAAAAAAATCATTTTTTATTTTTTCTATGCCTACATAGGCATGGATTTCCCATAAGGACTACTCATGTCCCCCTTTCAGTTTTTTTTTTTTTAATCTCATTTTCCAAAAACTTTTGCAAAAATATGATATCAAGAGCTATCCAATTTTGTTTCCCAATTTTGTATTTTAAAAAAAAAAAACTCCATCTTCTTTTTCCAAGAACATCTCATTTAAGAAAAATCTTTTCTTTTCTTTCTGTTTTTTCATTGCAAATCACTTAACATTTTAATCAAAAGAATTTTTTTATTATTTTTCAAAAATGTTTTTTTTTTTTTTTTTTTAATCCAGATCCAAACATTGTTTTCATTCTAATTTTCTAATGCTCATAAAATTCAACTTTCAAAATTAGAAGCAATAGTTGAAAAATAGTTTGACTACTATGGTGTGCTATATGGAATAAAGTAAGAAATTAAATAAAGAGATTTATATTTTTATCACCTTTCCCTTGAATTTTGTTTCTGACCTGCTGGAAATTTTCACACCAAATTCTTTAGCAACATGTGATCCCCTTATCTCCTTTTTAGCAACCTGAGCTTTCCAATACCTATATTTTTGGTAACTTGGGCTCTCCAATGCCTATCCTCAACTTGGGCTCTCCACGCCAATGCATATCTTTTCTTTGTTTCACAACACTATCAAGATAATGACTATCTTTTTTTCTTTCACAACTTGGGCTCTCCATGCCAATGCCTATCTTCCTTTTTTTTCTCAGAACATGGGCTCTGATACCATGATAAATTTTTATGGATAAGGCTTTGACACCATGTTGAATTTTATGTATGCTTTGATATCATGTTGCAAGTTTTTGAATAAGGCACCGATACTACTAATAATTAAAACATGCACTCACAAAGATAATCACAAAACTCATGTTCTTTCCACACACACTCAAGTTGCTTCTATCTACAACCACATGCGCATCATTTCAAAACATGGAGCCCATATATATATGCATTCACAACAAAACTACCCACCCACGTGTTTGATAACTACCGATTACCTACGTGAAGAGAGAGATAACTTCCTACTATCTTAACTACCCATACATTCCACTTTTACATAGAGAGATAGAGATAACCGCCCACTATCTTAACTATACATACATTTCACTTCTTTTGCATTATCTTTAACACATTTATCCTCTTGTAGGTTTGCTAGAGAAGACAACTAACTGGTGTGTAGAGCCTAAGTACCTCTGCAGGATCATGTTTTCCAGTAGAATTGACCAAACAAGTTTTAGATTGCCAAATAGAAAAACAAGAAAAAATTGAAATGATTGACATGAGCATTGGCAGCAATACCTTTTTCTACTATGTTCATTTAGGGGCCGTTGGGGTACTTGAAAATCTATTACAGGGAAACAAATTACAAGGAAATATGAGATTTACCATGATTAGGTGCACTTCAACCGTAAGAAAATGAAAATAAATTACACAAGATTTAACCAAAATACGTGAAATCTATTACGCGTAGGATGGTTGTGAAATTCATTACGCACTTAACAGGTAATCTAGCTATGCGCATCTCTTACCCAAAAAAAAAAATCATCTATCTCCTACTTTCTCTCTCTAAACTCCATTTATAAGTGTTTGCACATCCTGCGTACATCTATTTCTACACTCTCCTGCGCACATCCATTTTTCATCCCTCTATCCCCAATTTGGGTTATAGCCCTCATTTGAAGCCATCAGCTCTCATATTATTATGTCATCGCTCTTCAAGCCCTTGAAACATTTTTAAATATGTTCTGTGTTGTTTTTAATTTTTCTCATCAATCCAAAAGGGATTTGGATTGATGGGTTGCTACAGAAGATTTCTGATATCTCCTCATTAGATGAAGACTGGACCTCAATAGCAATTTGAGATACCCCTTTCTTCTAATCCTCTGTTCTATGTTGTTTTTCTTTCCTCTGATCCTCAATTTGAGAGGCTCTTCTCTCCCAGTAGCTAGTTTTCTCCCTCTCTTTCTTGGTTTTATCTCACTAGACTGAACCAATTTACTCTCTCTACAAGTTGCCGTTGTGATGTAGTCATCCCCATTAAAGCTAATTTGATTATGTTGCTTCTGTTATTGAATTTGGTTCACTTTGTTTCTCTCTGCACCACCATTAGAGCAACCCATGTTACCGCCATGAATTTGGTTCCAATTAAGAGCTTGCAAGGCCTTCACGTTTCCTGTACTTGAGATTCTCTCTCCATTTATTTTTCTTTTCTTTTTGGAGGTAAATTATTTGTAAATGATGGATTTTTGGGTTTTTGGTTTCATTTTCACATGTTTTAGTTTCTTATAAGTTTGGTTTCTCTCTCTTATGTGCCCTTGTTTCTCTATGGTGCTCTGATTTTCCATCCTCTTTGTGATGCTTTGATTTTTCATGTAGCATCAGTAGCTCTGTAAATCTCTGCGATCTCCATATTATGGTCATTTCTAATCGCATTTGCTTCTCTGGTAAGGCCTTTAAGCTTTTTTATTTTTCATTTCCCATTTATTCATGCAAGATCTCTGATTAGTTGTTGTAATGGACTTACTCATTGGCCTTTTCATCAAAATTTTAAAATATGT